CGCCGGCTGCCGCCCGCCGCCGATCGCCGCCGCCACCCACCTCCGACCGTCGTCCATATCAACGACCTCCGGTCGCCACTGATATTCGTCTTTCATGGCTGCTTCTACTTCAACTACGACATTTACCAACATCCCTCCGATTCCGTGTGAAAAGTTGACCGGAGCAGCCAATTATACCACTTGGGCAGCTCGGTTCAGCTTTGGTTCCATGGTCAAGGACGTGCCGACCACTTAACCACTCATTTTTCTGCAATTGCTACCGATAACCGTGAGCAGTGGCAACAAATTGATGCCTCACTGTGTACGGTTCTTTGGTTTTCTATTGCTTCGAACCTTCAACATTCTTATCAAGCATTCGACACATGTTACGATGTTTGGCACAAGGCCAAGAAAGTTTACGCTAATAATGTTCAACGTCTTTACAACGTCATCACCATTATGATGACCACTAAGCTTGAGAGGGACATACAAACATATTTGAGTAAGCTTGACCGTCTGATTGTTGATTACAATAATTTAATGCCTTACCCCTCTGATGTGGCAAGCTTTGAGAAACAGCAAAACCAGTTCTTCATGATTCTTGCACTTGCTGGTCTTCCTCCTGAGATTGAGTCTGTCCGTAATCAAATTTTGTCTGCCCCTATTATTCCTACATACGACATTGTTAGTGAACAATTGTTGCGTCTCTCCATCTCTCATACTGTGGCTACTCCTTCTGCAACTGCTGCAGACTCCTCTGCTCTTGTTTCTCACTCATCTAATCGTGGTAGTGGACGTAACGAAGGTCGTGGAAAACAGAATCGTCGTTGCAATTATTGCCACCTCTTTGGTCATCTTGAAGTCAACTGTCGCAAAAAGGCCCGAGAACAGTCATCATCAGCGAATGTTGCTCATGTGCCCAATACTACCTCCTCTGTCGGCTCTTCCTCTCTTACAGATGTCACTATTTCTGCCTCTGACTATCAAGATCTTCTTCAGCTTCGAGCAGCTCAACAATCTGCCTCGCCTGCCACTACCGTGGCTCACTCTGGTAATCCTGTAGCCTTTATGTCTCAGTCTCCTTCTCTTGGACCTTGGATTCTTGACTCCGATGCATCTGATCATATGACTGGTAATCAATCTTATTTCTCTAAATTGTCTTTCTCCGACTCCTTGCCACCTGTTACTCTTGCCGATGGTTCTCAAATTAAAGTTCATGGCATTGGTCAAATTCACCCACTCACTCACCTCCCTTTACACTCTGTTCTGTTTGTTCCTGGTTGTCCTTTTAATTTAATTTCCATTAGCAAACTCACCAGTACCCTTGATTTCTCTGTGTTGTTTGTTAATAATTTTGTTCTTATTCAGGATCGGCGTACTGGACAGACGATTGGAGCAGGACATGAGTCTGGGGAATTATATCGTCTCTCATCACCGATTGTGTGTGTTTCCACCTCTGTCGATCTTGCTCATCAACGTCTTGGTCATCCCAGTTTGGAGAAATTACAACTTTTAGTTCCTAGCCTTTCTACCGTTAAAAACATCTAGTGTGAGTCATGTCAATTAGGGAAACATGTTCGTCAGTCTTATCAATCTAGTGTCCATAAATGTGTTGCGTCACCATTTACCCTGGTTCACTCTGATATTTGGGGACCTAGTCGAGTCTGTTCAACTTTAGGTTATTCTTATTTTGTTACCTTTATTGATGATTTTTCGCGTTGTACTTGGGTTTTCTTAATGAAACACCGTTCTGATGTTTTTCATATTTTTCAAAGTTTTTTCACTGAAATTGCTTCTCAATTTGGTCAATCTATTAAAATCTTACGCACTGATAATGCAAAAGAGTATTTATCTTCAAAATTCCAGTCTTTTCTTTCCTCCCAAGGTATTCTTCATCAGACCTCTTGTGCCCACACACCACAGCAAAATGGTGTAGCTGAACGCAAAAATCGTCATTTGGTTGAGACAGCTCGTACTATTCTCCTTCATCACAAAGTTCCACTTCGATTCTGGGGTGATGCGATTCTTACTGCCTATTACTTGATTAATCGCATGCCCTCCTCTGTTCTCAGCAATCAAATCCCATACACCATCTTGTATCCACAAAAAGATCTCTATCCTGTTCCACTTCGTGTCTTTGGTTGTACATGTTTTGTCCATGATCTCACTCCAGGTAAAGATAAATTTTCTGCTAAGTCTCTCAAGTGTATATTTCTTGGTTATTCTAGACTCCAAAAAGGGTATCGTTGTTTTTGTCCACAACTTCAACGCTATATTGTTTCCCCTGATGTTTCCTTCTTTGAGTCATCCTCTCCTTTCTTTTCTGAAGATATTACTAGTCATACTTCTTTGGATGATCAACCTACTATTCCAACTCCGGCTCCGGCTGTAGTAACTGATCCACCACCATTACTTGTCTATCAGCGTAGGACACGTCATCCACAGGTGGTTCCATCTACAACTCCCCTAGCTTCATCTTTTGCTCCAACCGACTCTCTGGCGACGCCTCCTGCACTTGAGCATCCTTTGCCTGAGTTACCCATTGCCATTCATAAAGGTATTCGAACTACCCACAATCCTCATCATTTATATGCTTGTTCTCTTTCCTGTCATCGATTGGCTCCTTCCTACTTTTCTTTTGTTTCCTCTTTGGATTCTGTGTCTATTCCCAAGTCTACAGGTGAAGTTATGGCTGATTTTCGGTGGAGACAGATGATGGTGGATGAAATGGATGCTTTGCAGACTAGTGGCACGTGGGAGTTGGTACCTTTACCACCTGACAAGTCTATCATTGGTTGTCGATGGGGGTACACAGTGAAAGTTGCACCAGATGGTAGCATTGACCGCTTTAAAGCGAGATTGGTTGCAAAGGGCTATACTCAAATCTATGGCCTCGATTATGGGGATACTTTCTCCCCTGTCACCAAGATGACGTTTGTTCGCTTGTTTCTTGCTATGGCTGCAATTCGTCATTGGCCACTACACCAATTGGATATTAAAAATGTCCTTTTAAATGGTGAATTGCAAGAAGAGGTTTATATGGATCATCCCCCTGGCTTTATTGCTTCCGGTGAGACTCACCTTGTTCTTCGTCGTTCTCTTTATGGCTTGAAGCAATCTCCTCGTGCTTGGTTTGGACGCTTCAGCTCTGCCTTGATTGAGTTTGGTGTGACTCGTTGTGAGGCTGACCACTCTGTTTTCTTCCTTCACTCCTCATCTGGAATTTGTATTTATTTAGTGGTGTATGTTGATGACATTGTCATTACTGGTGATGACTTCGATGGTATTTGTCGCCTCAAATCTCATCTTCAACGCCAATTTCAGATGAAAGACCTTGGTCCACTTAGATATTTTTTGGGGATCGAGGTTGCTCACTCCACTTCTGGTATTGCAATTTCCCAAAGAAAATATGCTCTGGACATTCTCACTGAGACTGGTATGGTTGACTGCCGCCCTAGTGATACTCCGATGGATCCCAACATCAAGCTTCTTCCTGGTCAGGGGGAGCCATTGGATGACCCAGAAAGATATCGTAGACTTGTTGGCAGACTTAACTATCTTACTGTCACCAGGCCAGACATCGCATTCCCAGTAAGTGTGGTAAGCCAATTCATTAACGATCCTCGTGATAGTCATTGGAGGATCCCAACATCAAGCTTCTTCCTGGTCAGGGGGAGCCATTAGATGACCCAGAAAGATATCGTAGACTTGTTGGCAGACTTAACTATCTTACTGTCACCAGGCCAAACATCGCATTCCCAGTAAGTGTGGTAAGCCAATTCATTAACGATCCTCGTTATTGTCATTGGACTGCAGCAATGCGGATACTCATATATATCAAGAAGGCATCGGGCCGAGGACTACTATACGAGGACAAAGGCAATTCCAAAATTGTCTGTTATTCAGATGCTGATTGGGCAGGATCACCATCAGACAGAAGGTCTACCTCTGGCTATTGTGTTCTAATTGGAGGCAACCTAATTTCATTGAAAAGCAAGAAGCAAACTACAGTTGCTATATAACTGCGGAAGCTGAATATCGTGCTATGGCAGCAGCTGCAAGTGAAGTTACATGGCTACAACAACTTCTCAAGCAACTTCAAATTGGAGACACTCAGGGAACTAAACTCATCTGTGATAATGAAGCTGCTCTCCACATTGTCTCCAATCCAGTCTTCCATGAGCGGACTAAACACATAGAAATAGATTGTCATTTTGTAAGAGAGAAAGTGCTCTCAAGAGAAATCACCAGTGAATTTGTCCACTCTAGTGACCAGTTAGCAGATGTGTTCACAAAATCTCTTAAAGGACCTCAGGTTGATTATATTTGTAACAAGCTTGGTGCATATGATATATATGCTCCAGCTTGAGGGGGAGTGTTACAGATATTGTGAATATATTACAGATATTGTGGATACATATATTATGGTTATTATCCTCACTATCAATTAGGGATATGATTAGATTAGTTTCCATAATATAAGAGATTAGTATCTCTATCATTTATTATATTCACTCTATAAATAAGATTGGTGTGTGTACAACAATACACACAATTCCTGAATCACAACACCAACAAAGCAAAACATAAAAATTTGGGATAAAGATTTGTTATTGTTGTTTACTTCACAAAAGCTAATTCATGCTCATCCAGAACTAGAAAGTCTTTTAAAAAGAACACGTAGCTTTAGGACAAAACCTGCATGTGAAGGAAAAATGCAAGTTGCACTATTACTGCCCGAACAGCTAGAATGCACATTGCTGCGAGCACTGCAAATCTTTTCCATCTCAACAGAGGCACCTAAAAAAATTTCAAAAAAACAATTTGTAAAAATGATGCGGTCACCATTAAATAATTTTCCGAAATATAGCTTTCTTTTTGTCAATAAATGTATGATATTGTTTGCCCGCAGGCTAGAACATGGTTCGAGTAATATAGTAGTATATGTGGAAATAGTTTCAGAAAATCAGGAGCACTCAATCACAAGTAAAAAAACAATTTTTATTTTTATTTGAGCAAAATCAGTATCAGATAGCATAGAAATTGCCCTCTTTATTAAGAATTTATCAGTCGATTAATTGATATTGCTAAAATATGAATCTCAATGTTACACAATTTCAACTCTTAAACCCCACCTTTAGTTTACCTAGTTTTCTTCCGAGTAATGATACACATACAACAATTTGTACAATGTTATGTTTTTGTGTCTATTTCTCTCCATCTCATCATTTATTATATTTTAAATTTCTCCCTCTTTTCTTTCTTTCTCTCTTTTTTGTACAAGTATCATTTCCATTTTCTTCCAAAAGGTAAATAAAACAAAAAAAATGGATATTATTTGACATTTATTGTCATTAAATTTGACAATGCAAGTCCCACACAGAACCAAGAACAAGTAAACTTCAGTAGATTTTTTTAAATAAGACATCATGACTATGCCTTTAATAATATGAGGAGAGAAAGGAAGTTTAAACACAAACCAAAATAACTCACATTGATTGAGTAAGCAGTCCCTAGCACAAAACTTACAAAAAGAGCCCAAAATAATGGCCATGAACCTACGATCCAGCCAAGCCAAAAACTCTGTAGAAAAGAATAAAACAATAAGTCTCCTTCGACCCTGTCAGTAAATATTGTCTTAAAAAATATCATTGGGAAAAGGGATGAAGCTATACGGTACCAGAATTGAGAAAGATGTAACAATAGCAACACCAGTTCCAAAGGAATATTCCCCAGATGCCAATGGAAGATAGGGCTTGTTTATCTGCAATAAAACACATAACAAGGATCAATAATATATGGTAGTTCCCCTGAAAAATTTATAAGCTGTAAAAGGTTGGATGTCTTTCTTGCCATATTCAATGCTACAACAATTGGGGAAGCTAAATAAACTAATATATAAACCAGATTTCAATGGTCAAAATATATAAACTGTTCAAATCGTGCATGAGAGCATAGACTCTAGTATGCAGTATGCACCTAGTCTGCATGTCTCTGAATATCCAACTATAGATAAACCAAACAGCAATTCTGTCACTATCATTTATATATACTTTTTTACTAGAACAATCCAGAATCCTGAAAGACACTGGAAAAAGAATAATTTCTTAGATATGCAGATTGTTTATTTCTATTATTAAGTTCCATACCTTGTCTATTTCAACATCAGACAATTGATTCAAACCAACGATATATATATTCATGAACAAGGCAGCAACCACAGCCTGAAACATATAAAATAAATAAGTCAAAAAGTATTGGTGACATTAGAGGGGGAGCAACTGGTTATTTAAAGAAAAGAAGTGTATTTTGGGTCTCACCTCCAACACACCAGTAAAAAATAGTGGAGATATATCTGATAATTTTTCTACCGCAAGGAGAGACACAGAAATTATGCTTAATGCCTGCCAAAAGACAGATAAAGAGACCCCTTTTAAAACCTTCAGAATATTACAAATATACGAAAAAAGTGATTCATGAAAATGAATTGTATAATTTGTATTAAGCATTTCAGGATTAGTTCTAAGAGTGTTTAAATGAAGAATTTAAATAGAGTAATTTATTTTTTTGAGAAGAATTTCAAATGCCTTGAGGTAAAATACCTTGTTTAAATGAAAAATTTTCAAAAACAAATTGAAATCCAAACATTTGTGAAATTTCTTAAAATAGTAAAATTTCAAATTCTCCAAAAAAAGTAAGAATTTGAAATTCTTCATATTTTTTCTTTTTTATCTCACCTATATATCTTTTATCTTTTTTCATATCTCTCATGTTTCCTTTTGTCTCACTCTCTTCTATCTCTCATACTCTATTTTCTCTCCCCCTTCCCCGCTGTCTCTCTCTTTCCCTTTTTTTTTTCTCTTCCAATTTCTTTTCTTAATTATTGAATATTCAAAAATATCAATAATTTTTTTAGTTATTGAATATTCAGAAGTATTTTTTAATTATTAAATATTATCTAATATTAATTTTTAAAACTATTAAATAATTAAAAAATGGCTAATATTTATTTTAATAAAATTTAATCTTATAATCTCAATATGATATATATAATCAATTTTAACCATGATGGAAATCAAATTACCATATTCAAGCTAAGAATTTAAAATTCAAAAAATTTGAATTGACTTATCCAAATAAAGCATTTAAAAAATGATAGGAATTAAAATGAAAGTAATTCAAATTCAAAGAATTTCAAATTTCTTAAAATTTCTAAAGTGCCTCATCCAAACACACCATAAGAGTAATTCTAGAAAAGCTTGAACTTAACTGTGCCAATAACTGTGTGTGGCCTGGAAAACCTGTAGAAAGCATCCAAGGAAGTTTTGAGCGAATCCAAAATGCCTTTTGGATCAAAACCTTCAGGTTCAGCCTCAAAAGATTGTTCAGAGGTCGCTTTTACAACAAATTTTATGTTACACTTTTGACATGTATACCCTCCCTCAATGCCTTTGTAATGATGATTCAAACTTGGCCGCTGAAGCCTCAAAAAATTATATTCTTTTTGGATTTTCCTTTTGTGCCATGTAGCCTTTGGCACATAAGAACCTTGAGCACCAAATGTTGGATGTTAGTATCAGTGACCATGCATGGTATAAAACAGAAATATATTGCTTTACAATGAATCAGAGGTAAAGAAAAAAACATACAGGGAGAATTTTATAATCAATGTCCAGAATTCTGGAAAGGGTACACGTTATTTGCAACTCTACCAAGACATATACTGTTCTCAATATAGAGATAGACATAAGAGACTCAACTAATTGAGACTACTATCACCAATGGTCACTTCTCAAAGGAAACACAAAAATGTTGCTGCAACACAATTAAAATCCGGGAGTACGTTCATTAATCGTTCCCAATAGATAACACTGGCATAATGATTTGGATCTTCAGAACTGCAGAGTTATATATCCATAAACGCTCTTCAGATC